GGCGAGCGGCAACCTTGGCTTCAGCTGCTGGCACCATCCGGCTCGTCCGTCTGCCCCTGGGACCAATAAAACGCCCTGAAACGCTCCCAAGTTTTTATTGTATGCCGTTCTTCATTCTGATTCTTTTTTTTTTTAATGGGACATCTACATAAGCTCGAGGAGATTTTTTTTTTTTTTTTTGCACAAGAATAAGCTTTAGCTTTGATTACAAAAAGCTTAAACTTCTTAAAGGAGGAGATCGCAATCGCTATTTGTACCAAAGTCAAACGCACCCGGGGCCAAGAGAAATTGGTATAAAGGGAAGTAGGAATAGCAGGGTGCAATCACAAGGTAGCTCTTTCAAATTACAGGCTTCAAAGTCGTAGGGAGTCCTTGGAGGTGTACAGCTAGTTGCTTTAGCTTTGATTACAAAAAGCTTAAACTTCTTAAAGGAGGAGATCGCAATCGCTATTTGTACCAAAGTCAAACGCACCCGGGGCCAAGAGAAATTGGTATAAAGGGAAGTAGGAATAGCAGGGTGCAATCACAAGGTAGCTCTTTCAAATTACAGGCTTCAAAGTCGTAGGGAGTCCTTGGAGGTGTACAGCTAGTTTGGGACAAAATACTATATATGTAACACTATATTTAACAAAATACATCCTTGCACCAGTAGAAGGTAGAGTACACAGTGACCTTCAATGGCTTTTTCATTATTAGTTTATACTAGCTGAGGAAATTCTGGATTAAATATACAGAAGGTCTGATGGCCATTTATGAATCAAGGAAGAGCACGCATTGTGAAGGTTAACAGAACACATTAGTAGTTTCTAATGACATCTTAAAGTGTATTACAATTGCTGTAATATGCCTTCATAAGAAGAAAAGTATTATAAGCATTTCCTTGATAATCAGAAAAGCAAGGTTGGCTATGTTTTTAGTGTATCGCAAAATGAGGAGAGTTTATTTGTAAATAAAATCTAATGGAGAACAAAGAAGCAGAATGCCATGAAACTCTTCATATCAAAATCTTTTTAGGTTTTATTTTTCCACATGCCAAAGTTTATAGAGAATACAAGAAGTATTTCTGCAACAAATAAAAATGTGCTAAAGTAACACATACGTAATAAAATCAGAACTATTCCAGAGGCAACGTAACAGTTTTTTATTTTGTGTGGCCCAGCACATCATAACTTTAAGCATATACAAAGATTCAGTGATTTCAGTAGGACTACTTGCATGTTTAAAGCCACACTGTTGTATAAACACTGTGCTGCTATAAAATTTAAATATATGAGAGGAGCCTGGTGGAAAGGATATAGCGGCGGGGATGGTAAGAAATGGCAGAATGGAATTAAATTGAGGCATAACTCATAAGATGACTACCAAAGCTGACAATGCATGGTCAAGGAGAATTAAGAGATTAATCATGAGGGGAAGATATCCCATTAGACAATGGGATGAAGTTTGGCTACATTGGTCTTTCCACTGTCACTAGATACTGAGCGCCAATTGCCCACATACTTAAGACTGCTATGTAGGGTTTTACTGGGAGTTCATTTACATGACTCTTGTACCACAGTAAATCTATTTAAACACTTTGGATTTATGTAAGCATGAGGTCAGAGTAAAATGCCTTGTTCGCTGTTTTGTTTTCTCTGGGTGGTGTAAAGCAAGGACCGATCTCGTGTACAAGGTTGTCTCTCCCGCTTTCCATTACCAGTTTCACAGCACTTTCACAGTTTCTTTCCTTTCCCCTTTTCTGTTTCAGCAAAGACTAGATCCCAGCTTCTCTGCCTGCTGTATACAATTGCAGGAAACAGCAGGAATTAAATATGACTACTTTGAATGCAATTACAGAAATATTGGAAAAGTGCTTGTAATGCATATAGTTCATTTAATCTGTATACATTTTCTATATGTACTCTGCTGAACAATCGTATGCTTAAAGATACTGTAAATACTTTGCTAGAAGAGTACAAGATTGCTATCGTTATGCTTTTAATGGAGCGGTAATGTCTAAACGGTAAAGTTTGTTCATTGAATTTAAGTAAACCAATTCCTGTAACTAAATTCATCGTCTAGATTCTTTTTAGCTGTCCCTTAGCTGATCTGTAACAACAGGTAGCCCAGTGAGGTTGCTGAAACCTGTGCCTAGTGACAGTGAGAGGATTAGTGGGGAAGATTTAGGATCTGGAGCCACTGAGAAGAAAAGAAAAGATGCACAAAAAAGCTGTCTTGAGCATAAGCGTATCTGTGTCCTTACGTACATGCAGAATAGTAGGGCTGATTGCTACTGGGATTCTTGTTTAAGTTTTGATCAAGAAGACATGTTTGGAAATGATTTTTCCATGTTTAGAGAAGAAGAAACAGATTTTTTCATATTTCTAAAAAAGAAATGTTATGCCTGAGGTGATGAGAGATGCCATTTGAGATTTGGTGCTGTAGCCTGTGGGTTAAATGTGTTACACCTTTTCCAAGCATACCAAATTGCTGTCACATCTGTTCTAGGAAGTGGCGGAGATAGTTGCTGCAGCGCCGTTGTCCTGGTGTGATCCTGGGGACTGGGATGCGAGAAGGTGATGGCAATTTATTTGTGAAATTGCTAAAACAGATTCTGTTTAATTAACCAGATTAATCACCAAAACAACTACTTCCTATTCCCCAAATCTTGCTTCTGTAACTCACCAATCAACATGCTACGTACGTATTTTTGTCTGTGCCCAGCCTACTAGCCTACAGTGCGTTGAACCTATCCATTCGAAAACCCCACTCTTCAGGATGAAGGATTTGTGTGGCCCCCGGGGTCCTCCTCCAGGTCTCCCCCAGCCCCAGCCCCAGCCCGGGGCCATCAGTCGCTGCCCCACGCCGCCGCAGCAGTGCCGGCTCCCGGCCAATATCTAAACATTCATGGGATAATTTTTTTTCTTTTACAGTTTTAATTGTCACTACACCTCGCTTTTTAATAATGTCCCGGGCTATTAATTTAACAGCTGTACATTCCTCCAGTTACAGTAAGCCTTGTCTCCTTTTCTACTTCTGTGGCATTTTGTTATTTTGTTTTGCTGTGCCACGTCCCGTGCCAATTGCTTTAACTTCTGGCTGGGAAAACGTATGATTTAATTGGCAAACGATCCGCTTGCTTTGCACTTCTAAACTGAAAACTGTGAGCAAGTGTGGTTTTGAGAAAAGATTAAAAAATAGGATTTCAAACATCTTTTTTCTTCCACAAAACTGGTGTTGATGGCTGTTTAAAGACAGAGGCAGTATGCCATACACTAGCTGTGTAATAAAATGGATTAGAGCCCTGTGATAGAACATTATGTCTCTATCAGACTGTCAAAATATTGCATATTTAATGTGGCAGCCAAACTAGAACCTGGAAAGCCAGAAAATGTGAGGATAAAACAAGATAACAGTAATGCAAATTACTTCTGTAGCTTTCTTCTATAAATAAAAAAAAACTGCCCTGAGATCTGGAATCTGTCATAGAATTTTATCTTTGACTTGCAGCATATTAATGCCATTTTTTTTCAACTAGATTTACAAGATTTCTGCACTGAGCAGACAGTCAGTAGCAATCAAAGGTGCATTTCTAAAAAAAATCCACAGAGGCAGCTGGCTCTGTAGAACATTTCCTGATTCAGCCTAAGCAAGAGTGGACAGTATGTCAGCCAAGACGATGATAACGGTAGATCCAGAATTATTTCACCGTAATGTTTAAAATACTTTGCTGCTCCATCCTGGCATGAAGAATACGCCTCTTAACATGTAGTTATACACTGTGTTGTCTTACTCCTGCTTTATAACTACGGAAATTGGTGCCTCTGGCCATGGATTACTGCTATCGCTTCACTTGTACACATGAATCAGTATGTGAAGCTGTATTTTAAGCCAGAGCACTAAAATAGCGTGGATATATTGTAACGTGTAGCACTTCAGTACAGCTCTGCAACAACTGTGTATCTAGAGTGTATTAGTGAGAAATGACCGCAAATGGCAAAAGGAAGAGCAGGAACTTTTAAACCAGTTTTGCTTTTGAAGACAATCAACAACCTCAAGAGTTGGCTTTGGAACCACGAAGGGCCATACACAGTCATGGTTTGTCACTTATAAATGAAGCTGGGGTCATACACTGTGGTGTAAGAGCACTTACGGGGTTCCTGTGCTGCACTGGGCAGTCTCCCATTCTCCGCACATTATAAAATATCACCCATGGTTTTCCTGAAAGTCAAGTGGCTGCGTGAAGACGGATGCCTCGTAATTATTTTTGGACTGTTTTTCTCCACTTCTGTTACCTGTCTCTTCTCTTTCCCCGTAACGTAGCTACAGACATGCTGTGTTGTGACACACTAAAGGCCTTTGGAGCTCAGCCAAATCCTTCCCAGAGTACTTTTCAGTCAGAAGCCCTTTGTTTTTTTGACACAGCTTCATTTTTGATCCAGATCAATAGCTTGGGGATTAAAGCAGAAGTGTAAGCCCCCCACAGGCTGCTGACAGGGGCATGTTTGGCAGCTGAAAATAATCCCCCCAGCTGGTCCTTGGCTCAGTCTACACAGTTCCAACAGATCCAGATTTTTTGTCTATCACACACAAGCCTCAAGTAAATATATTGCAGCAAACAGAAAAATGATATTGCAGTTGTGAGCCAGCTGTGGCATCACACATTTAAAATATGCATAAAGATTGAATCTTTAAATTAACTCCAAAATTATGCCACTGTTATTCCTCTCTTTTCTTCTTTTCTCCAGAGGCTGTAGAGATGCCCCGGCAGCTTTAGATGTCTTTTGATTTCCAGTGGGGGGTAAAGCTTCACCGTGCGTCACTCTGTCAACCAGGGATTGCCAGAACACAGAGGGCTATGACCACGCTCCCTTAGTGTGCTGTGCATCACAAGTCTCAGATGGCTTTTCATCTGCTTTGTGGTTCCACAGTGACACCAAGTAGGTTGAAGGAGGGACCAGATACACTATCTCCATTTTTTAAAGAGTAAGCTGAATACAAAGATGTGTATACTTGTATAAAGAAAGATTCAGAGTTTAGAAGTAGTAATTTAGAACGGAGTGACTGTAATAATAAAAATGCAGTGTCAGGTAAGATTTCGCTCTTGTTATTCAAGACCTCCTCTGAATGAGAGACTAGGATTTGTTTCTGTCTTTCCTTCTCCAAGCTCTTTGAGCTTACCTTCCAATAGATTAAAATGCTATTCTTCTCGATACTCTACATTGTGAACTTTGGGTTTTTTTCAACTATTTAAAATAAAATGATTATGTAATGGGGTGATCACTGACAGCATATGATTCCTTAAGCCATAAAATAAAAAGTTAATAGAAGAATTAGTATAGTTGAGCTATAACGATATAAATAACAACAGCATTTTTGTGCTTTCTGAGCACCTTTATCTCAAGGCTATAAAGTGTTTTACACATACAAGTATGTAGTCTACAATATGCCTGCTGTGCTAAAAAGTAGCAGTATTTGCATTTAACTTGTTTTAAAAATTAAGAAAGGAGGAGGAGGATTGACTTGCTGAAATTCTTGATCTACCAAAGAACTTATTGAAGGACATGAATAGCTGCAGTACTCATATATCTGGTTTTCTGGATCAGAGCCCAGGTGAATAACGAAGCCAGTGTCAGATGTCGAACCAAGAGAAATCAGTTCTTCTGGTTCTCCATCTGGCTTCAACAGAAGTTGTTTCCGTGGTGGAAAATTCTCTGTAATTGCCTCTTGCCAGCATTAACAAAAAAAAATTGTTTTTTGATGCTGAGTTTAATAAACAAAATTTCCTACATCCTTTAGCTTCTAAAGGCACTAATTGAATGTAACTGTTTGACATTTGCATCCTTGATGGCAGTTATATCTCTGTCATTTGGGGATCCAGCTGAGGACTACCATCATCAAAACTGTAAAATATAAATTCTGATTAAACACATTTTAACTTTGCTCAAGCAATAATTTTCTTATGTGTGTAGGTCATGCTTGGCCTGCATCTTTTTGGGAGGAAAAGTGGTAGAGAAGTTTGTCACTGCAAATTGGAATTAGCAGTATGGAGTTGGAGTAATAAAGGAAACTTGTCTGTTTTTGCAAAATGTTGCTCTCTCCCTGTTGCTCAGTCAGAGCAAAGAACAATTGACTAAAGATCATTTCAACCAGGGACCTTGCTGTAGTCACAAATATTGTCAACTCAAGACTAAAAATTTGCAATCAATTCTACACGACAGTAGAACATACATCTTAAAGCCATTCAAAAACTGCAGTCAGCAAGGGCTTTGTATTACCAGAATGTATTCCACAATCTCATCAGTAACGTTTTTTTCTAGGCGAGCTTTAAGGTTTTGTGTTTGACCTATAGATTCCCGAGTGACGTGAATGAGATCTTCCAGCTTGAGGCTAGTGTTCTTGTGCCAGTTGCTCCTTAGCCCAGAAGAGGTACTCCTTCCTCTGCCTGGACTCTTATTTTCTCTCACAGAGATACACAACCGATTGCCCAACTCATTGTTTCCCATTCCTCCAGCAGTAGTTTGTCTAGGGACAGGCCTGTAACTGGAGCAAATTTTCTCCCATTCAGCTGCAGCTTACATTGCAACTAGCGCCGAGCTACCTCTGTTCAGTGGTAGCCTCACGCAGCTACTGGGAAAGCCAGGGAGCATGCCAGCAAGGCACGAATGGGCTGCCTGACCAGAGCTGAACCCGTCTCACTGACACACTCTCCAGGGGCTTCAGCAAACGCTGCAATTCAAAGTTATGAGACCATGCTTAAGAAGTCCCCATTGCTCCTTCCCAGCAATGCGACCGAGGCCACCCTTTGCCGGGCGTGATTGCGGGAGCATCGCCTCTCTCTGCTCTTCTCTCCTGGAGCCGGTGCAAGGAAAGGGACAGGGCACAGCAGCCGGAGGGCCGTGACCCCATGACCAGAAATACCAGTGGCTTCTGCCTCCTCCAGCTCTGTCCTGCGACGTGTTTCAAGACTTCTTGAAACGAAGCTGGGATGCGAAGAACTGCCAGTGAAGGACGATGGCATACCGAGACCCCCCGGAGAAGAGGGCGGGCAGAGAGGGGCGCAGGCTC